CTTCCCTCGTTCCATTGGGTAGTTGTGGGAACTGCTCTTTCAGAATTTGGAATGAGCTAGCTTGTACCATTTGTACTTCCTGTTTGTCTCCTATAGTCTACTGGGAAATAGAGTAAGTTGGATCCTCTTGCTATAATTTTATCCATTTAATCCAAGTTCTATAATAGCTAGTCTTTAGTGGGCACGCTATACATGTGTATGTATTGAGGAAAACTTAAAGGCCTTGGTTACTCAGTATTCTATCAGATAATGAGGTCCCCTGATGGCAGCTTGAATCAGTCAATGGCCATTAATTAGCCTGTTATTCAGAGTACCATTAGGAACATGGCCAAACTTGTCTGCCTCTCCCTCTGATCTAGTGTGCCAGAGTAAACCTTCCTTTGTCAGTCATTGCCACTGGTGACAAGGCCCTCTCTGAGTCTAAAACTCCCTGTAAAGCAAAATTCCCCTCTGGTTAGCAGAATTGCTGGATGAGAAATCCAGAAATGCCAATTCAAACTGACTTCCATTATGAATAGCTTACAAACTTGCTTGCTTTTTATTGCAGCTGCTAAATCATGGCGGGGAAGGGCAAGAGAAAGAATTTCAGAAACAACTGCCTTTTATTTTTATTTTCCCATAGAGGTTTCTGTGATCTCTTTATTAGACACAATATGTGTCAGCAATTCAACTCATAAAAAAGCAGAAAAACATGCCAGGAAAGGAGAAAATTTTCTGTTTCTCCTTTCCTGTGAAAACTTTGAATGAGCTCATCTGGGTTCTCTCCTTTCAATGAAAGCTATGCTCATCCCTCAGCCCTCATCTCCTCCTCATTCTCCATTGATGATGTCAGGCAGGCCTTCCAGTATCTTTTTTGTGATCTTATAAAATCAATGACAACCAAAAACATTTCCCTTCTGGGTATGACTTCATCAATGTTCCACACCTGGACAGGCTTCCTCTGCATTGGTAAGCAGAGCTAAACTCCACTGATCCAGACGGAAGCAATTTACCGGGATACTACTGCTTTCCTTCAAAATGCCGCCCACACCATTCAGACTTAGATTTCTGAGCAACCTGGTCGAGTGTTGGGTCTGACTAGTCAAGATGGCTCTCCAGTCTTTGTGCCCATCATTGCACCCACCAGAAACTCTCCTTTACTCAGTACTGTTTTTGCCCTGGACACAAAGTAATCAATACCTCAATAGGTTAGATAGGTGACATTTTGATGATATTCTTACACTCCCATCTCCACTCTGCTGTATGTTAGTCTCATCTATATTCTGAGCAGTGAAACAGGCATTCCATTAAGTCAATTTAGGACAGAAAGGAATTTTGGGCCACTGGATCTACATGGCTGTAAATGTCTTAAACCATGGAGGTAGACAGGGAAGCATCTCCATGCCGAGAAACAGTCATCAAGTACTCTCAAAGCTCTGAGACTTAGAAGATAAAACCAGTACATAATGGATGAGTTTGGGGAGAAGCAAAAGGCACAAAAGACAATATCTCACAGGCCCAAAGAGAGCAGAGAAAGGAAGGTCTGACTGTATTGGCATGTCTGAAACGAAGTGGCGTTTACATGTTTAGATACAAATTGTGGAGAGAGTAGCAATGGCCCTACAGTACATCTGAGAGCAGAAGTGGCAGCTCACCCAAGTCAGAGAATGGGGCAGAGGAGGGGTCTAGCTGTGGACCAGGGAGAGCTCAGCAGTCCTCCCTTTCTGTGGTCCAAATATGCCTTGTCACTAGCCCCCTCCCCAGCTCTGAATCCAGGCACTCCAACCACTTTTAAGAAGGCTAATTCAATCTTTCCAGTTGACACCGAGATATGGAGAGGTTGAGATACACACAGGCACTCTACAAAGGACTCTTGAAAAGAATATTCCTGACCGTAAAAATAACTTGGCTTTTGTTTGGTGCATTATTCTCACAGTAATAATAATAATAATAATAATAGCTGATAAATATTGAGTGCTTGCTATCGGCTCGGCACAGTTACAAGCATTTTACATGATGAATGCATTTAATCTCTACCAGAAGCCTCCGGGTCAAGCACTGTTATTATCACCATGTTACAAATAAAGAAACCAAGTCAGAGAGGATAAAGAAGTTGCTCAGGGTTATGGAGCTAGGAAGTGACAGAGCCAGGATTCCAGTCCAGACTCTGAGGCACCAGAGCCCGCAGGCTTAATTGCTGTGCTCTGCTCTGCCTGCTCCTGTGAACTATTATGAACAAATTTCCCTGCATCTGGTCAACTCAGGTGCATTGGCAAGACCAAAGTCCATACATTCCTTACAGAATCATGGGAACACCTGACCACTTTGAGCCTCAAAACATTCCCCCTCCCTCCTCCTCCTTTTGGTGTACATTCCCACCGAACCGAAGGTAAAAAAATCCTCTGCAGCATCATTAAAAGCACAGAAGCACGGAGATTTACCATGAGGAACTGGTTGCAAGTGAGCGGAACCAGCTCCTAAGTTCATACTCGAGAAGTTTCAGTGTGAAGACTTCTAGTGAAAAATACGTGGGAGCAAAGTTGAGCTAATGTTTTACACATTTTAGAATTGCTTTCAGGATGTGTTTCATTTTAGAAAAGCTAGAGAAAAAAACAGAAAACATTTATTGAGTGTGAACTATGTGCCTGGCATTGGGCTAAGTGCTTTTTCACACATGCAATCTTATTTAACGTCACAACAATCCTATAAAATATTATTAATTTCATTTTTATGGATGAGAACAAAGACCCAACGAGGTCTTACACTTTGTTCGAGATCAGACAGCTAATAAGCAGTATAATTGGTAATCAAACTTAGAAACGCACACCTCCCTCTCCCCAATTTGGGTTATTTTAGGTTACATGTTACACAGTGCTAGGCAGGATCTTGATGTCATTTGAAGGAAATTGTAACCTCTTCTTGGTAGCCATGAATGCATCTACTGCCTGCACTAGTCTGTACACGTTATGGGGCACAAAGCTCAGGTCTTATTTATTGCTACATGTTGATAATACTTGGTGGAGAGTATGCTCAGGACAGTAGCTGGTGAGCCCCTTAATACTGTGAGTGTGGACAATTACACAGGGATATATGATAATCCCAGGTAAAGACACGAATACAATCTTAAGGCAAAGTATACGACTGAGCCTTAATTTTTCGAGGCACTGTGTGGCAGATCTGCCAGCAGACGTGCACAGACCCCACCACTGCAGCACAGGACGCAGCGCCCTAAGCCCTGGGGTGGGGTCTGTGATTTACCTCACCAGGCAGTCCCTTTCCCCCCCTTCCCTGGTGCCTCTCTGGCTGCTGTCTCACTTCCCTGGCTTTGAACCTTTTGGCAGCCTCCAATAGCTCCTCTTCAAAGAACTGAAGACAGGCCTGATGTTTCAATTGCCTTGCTTAATTCTAGACAGGTTTCCATTAATCGTATTAAATGCAGGTGAACAAAGGGCATTGAGTTTGTGACAGAGCTGAACGGTATCTGGATAAATATAAACAAGAGAGGTAATCCCCTAAGAGCCACTGTTTGCCCTCGATTGGAAGGATGTCAGCAGTGCCCTTGCTAAGGGAGGTTGGAGGGTGGAAGGCAGAGGAGATTTAACAAAGCCGGTGCTGAGCATCTGGACTCTGTATTAAAGAGGCGGATAAAGCTGGTGACTGGAATACATTAGGAGAAACGCAAATGTTCTATTCACACAAAAAAATAGGCATTAATAATATCAGCCTTTAATCTACCCAAGGCTCCTTAGCTTGCCTTATTCATTGTTGACTTTCATCTTCTCTGCAAAGCCTCCTGCTAAAGGGCCCTTCTCAGATCAGCTTTAGGTCACAGGGGCAGAAATACTGTTGCTGAACAGATATGCCAGGGAGTAGCATGTGTGACTGGAAAACAGTGTGACAACATAATCCCAGCATGGACCGATGAGGTCAGTGTGGGGTGATGTTGGCTTTTCTAGCATCTACTGAATCATCTGTTGGAAGCAAAAATTGAAAAGAATAAAAACAAACACATGCAACATACTGCCATGAAGACTGCCTGGCCCAGGTCTGAGAAAAAGGATCCGATTTGGGTAGGATCAGGTGGGAAGTGGAGGGAACAATGAGCTGGGAGTTAGGAGACCTCAGTTTGCTTCTTCTCTCGCCCTCTCACTGAGTGGCTGGTAGACCTCAGGTTGCCTGCCCTTTGAGAAGTGGGGACATTGGTTCAACTGGTATGAATCTAAAGGTTTTCTTTAGTTTCAAAGGCAAGGATTTGTCTTATATAAAAGAGGTTTTATGAAAGTGCACTACTATAAGACCACAACCTTGTAGATACTGTAATCTGAATCTTGATTTTCTTAATTCACCCTGTGTAGAATGTTTTGCATGACACTGTTGGGTAAAGGCAAAGCATTGGCAGGTGCATTAGAGCAAGAGGTTGAAAAAAAACAAAACAGAATCAGAACACTCCTGACTCAGACTATGACCGCAGAATTCTAATTCCCCATGGGTCTTAAGGTCTTTTTTGCCACGGGTGTAACAAGGAGAAATGACAGGATCCCAAAAGAGCAGTCAATAATCTTAGGTCACAATTGCATTTCCCAACATGGTACTTACTTGTGCACATCTCCTTTTCTCATGTTCTTTCTGTCTGGAATATTTTCCCTATCTCTGCTTATAAAAATTCCACTCATCCTAACTCTAAGACCTCCTGGATGGAATGAAATGTCTTTGCACACTCTTTGGTTATCACTTAGAGTACTTATTTCATTCTACTTCCTCCTATACATCACCTCCCTTTAATTATAATTACAGATTATGAGCTTCCTGAAGGCAGGGCATGGATCTTATTTGTCTATGTGTCCCTGGTCCTGCTTGGCACATTGGAGGCACCCACCCAATAATGGTTTCTGAATTGAACTGAACAGGGATTTCCACGTTACCTGCTAACGTTACGGCAATGGAGACAGAGTCATATCCCAAGGCATTTGTGGCGTTACAAGTGTAGAAACCCACATCAGCTTCTACTGGTGCCAGGATCTGTAAGGAATCATCTGGTTGTAGAAGAATCCTGGAACAACAGAAAGAAACATGGAGGCCAGATCAGTTGAGTCCTTTTTGGAAATCAATATTGGTAAAGCAGGAGGGAGCCCAAGGAACAGTCAGAATCCTGTTTTAACAAAATGATACTCAGGAACCCAGGCTCTCTTTCCACTGTGATTGCTGGGATTCTGGTAGCAACACCGAATAAGGAGGCTTTGACTGCTTATGCTGCTTGTTGACTACTTGATCTAAATGCTACCAGTGGGAGCAGACAGCACATGTGTCCTAAATACACAGAACGCACCTCAGGGGTGAGAGGGAGGGAGAATGAATGCTGCAGATGGATCTGGGGAAGTACTAAGGAAAAGGCAGTGTTATAAAGGAGGAATGGGGCTTAGTTGGATGGGAGAAATAGATAGAGCTTCCAGATACGAAGAAAGGCATCTGTTAATATAAAGAAGAGAGGTAATCCTCTAAGAGCCAAGGCTTGGAGGAGGGAGAGAGGAAGCCAAAAATCAAATATCAGTGAGAGGATCTTGATGTGTACATTGGAAGGCAATGATATATGTAATTACCTCTCCATTTCAGGTAGTCTTATGTACATCTATTGTCCTCATTAGTCTGCAAACATTATGGGCACAAAACTCAGATCTTACTTATTATTTTAGTTCCCACAATATTTGGCAGAGGGCCCTCTGTAGAGGAAGTGCCCAGTAGAATGAAGGCAATGCCTGCCCTTTGGGGTCATGTAGACTATTCCAGAATAATGACTAGTTCAGAGTCTTTGCTTTACTTGAAAAGAATGACAAGAATCAAATTGTGGGTGCCTACCACATGGATTTCAAAACCCATTCCAACCTCGTCTCCTATTTTTTCTTCTCTTGACTTAGACCACTTACAAGAACTAACTACTACATCATGGCGGTGAGGCAGATTAATGATTAAGGGTGACTTGAAGCCGATATCTTGGTGACTTGGTGAGGCTGATGATAACTGGAATGTGTTTGCGGAGGTGAGGATCCAGAGGGCAGTTGAGGAGGACACAGTGGGAAGCTCAGAGATCCAGTACTCGGACCTGGCGGGGCCTTAGGTTGATAAATCATTCAACAACACAGAAATGGCTTAGGGTTGGATTTTGCACTATTAGAGTCAGTCATTTCTACCTTTGTGATTATTTTCAACTCCCTAGTTTCAAAAGGCTCAAAGATCTGGTTGCCTAACATATTAATACCCATTCTTAGAAGGCAAGCAGGTAGCAGGGGCTGTTTTTCAGGAAACGGAAAAAAACCATAAAAATCTCAGGAGAACTCACAAGACTTGGTGATATAATGAAGACAGGGAGTTGGCTCTCCTGCCTTAGCAACACATTCTCCCCACTGGACAATTCTTTTCTTTCTTCAGTATTGCTCTAGACCAGCGATTCTCAACCTGTGGGTCGCGACCCCTTTGGCGGTCGAACGACCCTTTCACAGGGGTCACCTAAGACCATCCTGCATATCAGATATTTACATTATGATTCATAACAGTGGCAACATTACAGTTATGAAGTAGCAAGGAAAATAATTTTATTGTTGGGTCACAACATGAGGAACTGTATTTAAAGGACCAGAAGGTTGAGAATCACTGCTCTACACTATGGCATTTACAGTTTGGCACAGCCTCTAGTGAGCTCTAAATTTATCTGAGGTGGTTGAGGAGTCTGGCACTGAATCAGGCCCCCTCTGCACTACTTTTGGCCTTGGGCCTATTGCATTGCTTATTTTATTTTTATTTTTTTTTGCATTGCTTATTCTTACCTCCTATCTCAGGGAAGGCAGGGAAGAGAAAAAGCAAGGCTTACATCCATCTCCAATCTAGTTTCACATGGGCAGATACAATCAAAAAGTGGGGGAAAGAAATAGAAAACCTTGGATGATTTGTGTTTGCCTCAGTGCCATTCCAGACCATCACTGCAATTACTGGGGACAGTCAAGCTTTTGTGGCATTGAACCAGAGCTGAGGGACGACAGAGGGGCCAGGAGAGACTGTGATAGCACTCATCCGGCCATTCAGTCACTCATCCATCGGCTATTAGGTGTTTTGTCTCAAATAATCACATGTTCACTGTTAGTTTATTTCAAAGGAACTAATAAGAGAAAGATGACTATACAGTTTACTTATCTTTGGTAAGCCATGCAATATTTAAGTAATAATGTCACTGTGTTCTAAAGGTATCTTAACAGATATAATAGAGTATTATTTCCAAATCTCTTTAGAAGTTCAGGCTGTTTTAGACTTGAAAAATTACAAATTGACTTTATTAATTAAAAATTTATGATGTCCCAGGAACATGTATGCCTCCATAACAATTTCCAAATGAAAATAAGGGCAGCAGGTTTAGGCAAATTTAAATATAACTAACTACTCAGGATAATAGAACTTAGTAGATAATTGCTCAATTTTATCACACTCAAAGGCATGGATTAAAATTTGTTAAACTCCCAAGTCCACCAGGACAGTTGCCTCCCTAAAACTGGCACTCTCTCTCTCCTCTACAGAAAGAGCTCTTGAACTGAACATTCAGAGCAGGTCTACTGAACTTTATTTTGGTCCTGCTATGATTTACATAATCACCATGGGAAAATCCCTTCACCTCCCTACATTTCAGTTTATCAATTAGACAACCGATTAGATCTTCATATTCACAGATCATGTTTTTCCCCCATTGAACAGCAGTTCTCAACCTGTGGGTCGCGTCCCCTTTGGCGGTTGAACGACCCTTTCACAGGGGTCGCCTAAGACCATCCTGCATATCATATTTACATTACGATTCATAACAGTAGCAACATTACAGTTATGAAGTAACAAAGAAAATAATTTTATGGTTGGGTCACAACATGAGGAACTGAACTTAAAGGATCAGAAGGTTGAGAACCACTGCCATAGAATTATTGCCCTTGCCTGATCACATGCAGAGGATGTAAACCCCTCTCCTCCACTGGGCCTGAACCAACTATGGTTTTAGGTGGGTGTTACCTTTTGTAGCTGCATGAGTTCCGCCAGGCCCTGGTGCTACTGAGTGAGCCATAATGTGTTCTGCCTGTCTAACGCCTGGAGAAGAATGCTCACAAAGTTGGCAAGGAGAAGGGAGGAGATCCATGACACCGGGCACAAAACCATGTGTTTTAACTAGGATGGGAACAGTGGAAATGGAAAGGAATCTGGGTCTCGAGACTAGCATTTGTATATTCTTTTATTCTGTAAACTGTCTATTCAAAGATAAAAAAGCTTAAGTATCTGTCTTCATAAAAAACAGTTTTAAATATTGTCTTAAGACAAAATCTACATGGGACAAAATCTAAATTCGTCATGTATTGCATATATACTTATAAATTATTTATATTCACAAAACTGAACTCTTTAGCTCAAGGGTCTGTAGTAATTTGATGGCAGAGTCAGGATTTGAAATAAGGTTTCTTGGACCAGCACTTTGCCCCCAGTATATCATGTCTTTAATATGCCCATAAAACTGGTAGACGGGGGTTTGGAAGCTGCCACTAGTGGGCGCAATAGTTCTGAAGAGAGTACCCATGCAGGGCTCTCTAGGAAACATCGCAAAGCAAAGGAAAGGGCTTGTTGCAAGAGTGAGGTTTGCTGTAGGCTATCTAGCCTGGCATCTACGGAGAGAGGTTCCTGGAAAAAAGCATACATTTCCTTTATACTTCAGGCATCTACTCTTATTAATTTAACGTAATTTGTTAGTAGCTGACTTCTGTCAGCTTGTGTTTAGGTTTTGAGTTGGACCGGACTGTTTCAGAATGCACAGGCGCAGAAATGTGGTGCTGCTTTCCAAGCAAAACCAGAAAAGATTTCTCTGGGGTTGTTTTGGAATTTAAGGAATCAGAGAATGAGGGGTCATGGAATGGGGCCTAATTAAAACCTACGTAGCAAATGGTACTGTGGTCATATTAGGTATATTAATACTCGCTGCTTCCCTCCCATACCCACACCACACTTTCCTTTTGGTTTACTGAGCTAAAACTTAATGCTTCATTTCTTTGGTCATCCTTTTAACCTGAAAATGAAGGAACCGTTTTTGCTTTTCTGGTGGCCTTTACTAGTAAGCTTCTAAGCATGACTTCTCAAACACTCTACCAATTAAATGAGGAGCTGTTAAGAGAGTACAAAGAATTGTTTTAGTTACACAGGTAAAGCCCTCATCATCCATGTGAATAGGATATGGGCAGAGTGCCTGTGGGCCAGTCCTACTAAGTACAGGCTCCTTGAGGTGAAGTTGTTGCCTCTGCATTCGTAATGTACAATGAGAAAGTGCTCTTGTTTGAAAAGAAGGCAATTCTGAGTGTCCAAAAGAAAGTTTATAGCAATTCTGTGAGTGGAGGGGCATCGTGATGCCCTCTGAAGCCTTAGTCCAACTGTGAACATCACTGTCTTGTGCAGGCCCACCTCTCGTGGTGACTTCCATGACCCACCATGGAAGCTGCCTTGGAGGGGAAGCCTTCCCGACTTTACTCAAGAGACACAGAGTCATGTCCTGGTCTTGGGTAAGCCTTCCAATTCTGTGAGCCTCTAAGTCCCGTCTGCAAATTTAGAATAATGCTGACCTCAGAGAGTTCTTACGAGGATCAAATAAAGGAGTACACAGACTCATTCTTACTGTTTTCTAAGTAAAAAGGCTTAAATGTCAGATGCAGCTAAAAAAATAATATAACTTCGTGGTACAGGTGGTGGTATCCTATGTTACCATCTTGGAATTCCTCCTTGAAATTTCCAGTTGTCAGAGGACATTTTCAAGCTCTGGACACAGAAATACCCATCTGCTGCACGGGCCATGATTTTGTACCATCTGAGGTCTCTCCCCCTAACAAGTAAGCATTCTAAAACCCATTTTAGGCCTCAATATAGGATTGGAAGCTGGAAATCACAGGTATACCCTTCTTCTCTGTAACCATCTTCTTCATCAGTTCCAACTTACTTGCCCTACATCCCAACACAAACTTATCTCTCTAGTCAAAATGGCACCGTTGACTC